TACAGCTACTTGTATAAATTACGCGATAAATGATGTAATATTTGCTTCTATAAATTTGAAGACTAAGTACAACTGCATCTATGTATGTTCTCCTATCCTTCTGTGTAGGATTATTTCGGTTTCTCCTGTGTGTGTATGATGGCATACGTTACATGTAAGTTGGTAAACAACATTGGAGACAAGACACTCATCTTTAGGCTGTAAACACGTTTTTGTAAGACAGTTGGGTTTATTACACTGTAGGGTAGTGTACTGAGATTTTGAATGTTGGCTTTTTAGGGTTGGACCTGGCCATTCTTTTACTTTAATCGGTAGTTCAGATTTCCTGATTATAGTTTTTGTTTTCTTGGACATAGCATCGTCAATTAGAGATTTTATAAAAATAACCTTTTTTATGTTGTCTCTGAAAAATCATTTTTCCCCTCTTTGTTTATCTGTGTTTTCTCATGTTGTAGTTTTTCATCCTTGTTGATCTGTGTTTTCTCATGTTGTAGATTTCCATCCTTGTTTATCTGTGTTTTCTCATGTTGTAGATTTCCATCCTTGTTTATCTGTGTTTTCTCATGTTGCAGTTTTTCCTCCTTGTTTATCTGTGTTTTCTCATGTTGTAGTTTTCCATCCTTGTTTATCTGTGTTTTCTCATGTTGTAGATTTCCATCCTTGTTTATCTGTGTTTTCTCATGTTGTAGTTTTCCTCCTTGTTTATCTGTCTTTTCTCATGTTGTAGTTTTTCCTCCTTGTTTATCTGTGTTTTCTCATGTTGTAGATTTTCCTCCTTGTTTATCTGTCTTTTCTCATGTTGTAGTTTTTCATCCTTGTTTATCTGTCTTTTCTCATGTTGTAGTTTTTCATCCTTGTTTATCTGTGTTTTCTCATGTTGCAGTTTTTCATCCTTGTTTATCTGTCTTTTCTCATCTTGTAGCTTTCCTCCTTGTTTATCTGTGTTTTCTCATCTTGTAGCTTTCCTCCTTGTTTATCTGTGTTTTCTCATGTTGTAGATTTCCATCCTTGTTTATCTGTGTTTTCTCATCTTGTAGCTTTCCTCCTTGTTTTTCTGTGTTTTCTCATCTTGTAGTTTTCCATCCTTGTTTATCTGTGTTTTCTCATGTTGTAGATTTCCATCCTTGTTTATCTGTGTTTTCTCATCTTGTAGTTTTTCATCCTTGTTTATCTGTGTTTTCTCATCTTGTAGCTTTCTTCCTTGTTTTTCTGCGTTTTC